TTATTATGAAATTATAAACAATAAATATATTATAAAATATAATATACAAAGTGTTATTATAATATCTTTTAACTACTCGCGGTACAGGGGAATCTGGTTTAAAGGGCCGCATATGGTTGTTGGATTTCAGAAGTGCTATAATGCCAAAATGGTCCTGCCCTCCAGTGTTTCATGCCTGGCCCCTGTCTGTACGTAGTGGTTGAAAAGTATTGTTTAACACTTATAAAATAATAACGCTCGTAATTAGTCGCGATGAATATTAGACTAAAATCTAGTGGTAATGATATTAGGTTTCGCCAAAGGAAAATAGAATTGTTAAAAGCGAAGTGCTGCCCGAGTTTGGAATCAACACTTTAACAAGTGAGTGGATAGTTACTTTCATCTTACACATATATATGAAATATTTAATATAAATTACGTGCTATGTATGTATATTATATGTGTTTTTTGATATCTATGTCGGATGAACAAAATATACATGTTTTACTTGATTTAAACTGTATACGTATTTTATACCTATAATTATGATGGGTAAAGATGGGTAAATTAAAGATGAGATGAGATGAATGATGAGAGATAAAAGATGATATAGATGAACATTGGCAACTATGGACTTAGTGCCTGATAGATAAACCCTGGCAACTATGGACTTAGTGCCTGATAGATAAACCCCGTCAGCTATGGACTTAGTGCCAAATAGATAAACCCAACAACTATGGACTTAGTGCCTTACAAATGAACGTTGGCAACTATGGATTTAGTGCCCTATGAATGGATATTGGCAACTATGGACTTAGTGCCTAACAGATAACATCGGCCGTTACGGACTTAGTGCCTGTTGGATGAACCCTGACAGCGATGGACTTCGTGCCTATTCCTTTGGATAAGCCTTAGGAATGAATGAATGATAAATAGACGATTCTTAGGGTAGATCCTTAAGAATAAAGAAGATAACGGGGATGAGAAGTTGGGTTAATTGTTGATGATGAAACATAATAACGTTATTATTGTGGGCTGAAAACCCTATGTACTCACCAGGTTTTCCAACCTGAACCACTCAGTTATTTGTATCACAGGTGTCAATATGAAGCTACATTACACTGAGAGATTAAAAGAGATGTAAATCACTAGTGTAAATGAATGTAAGGTCTGTTTATGCTTATGTTTCTGTATTGACGATGACATTCCAATGTTTTTATATAAACAAAATACATTTCTTCGGAAATGCTTTGATAATATATTTATCATGTTTTCTGGGAACAAATTCCGCAATATTATTCTTTAAAAATGAATACTCTGATTTTCAAATAAGCATAAATAATTTTTTTAAAATGATCGTGAATTTGGGGATGTCACATTATACTCCACAGTAGAGGCTACCTTATATGCTTTTGTTGCCTCAAGGGCCCAATTGTAACGACCCAATTTTTACGTCCGAAAATTTCCTTTTTGATTAATTGATTCGTAAAACATTTGTATTAAAACATCATCCGATCATATCATATCATAAAAATATATCTCGTGTCTGAAAACCAAATCATAAAATAATAATAATGTCAGAGTACAATCCCAGAACATCTCATAATGCGGAAAACCAATGCGTGTGTGTATGATGTGCCGCTACCGCGCCAGCTCCTTCCCCTTCGCTGAAGAGGTACCTGAAACAAAACTGTAAATTGTAAGCACGAAGCTTAGTGAGTTCCCCCATCGTCCACATACCATACAATCATATAGCATACATACTGCCAGGCATTTCTAGGGTGCCCGACCTACCCGGTACTGTCATTCTGGGGTGTCGACCTACCCGTACGGCCATTCTGGGGTGCGGACCTACCCATGCGGCCATTCTGGGGCGCCGTCCTACCCGTGTCAAGCCATTCTGGGGTGCTGACCTACCCATGTCGAGCCATTCTGGGGTGCTGAATACCCTTCGGTCCTAACAACCGAACCTCGGGGACTATTTCACCCCTACTACTACTATCGCATATATCATAGCATAATCTACTGTCAGACATATCTGGGGTGTCCGACCTACCCTTCGGTCCTAACAACTGAATCTCGGGGTCTATTCCCCCTCCTACTACCTCTAGCTCATGTAACATATCATGCTAGCAGCTAAACATATCATAACATACCGTTAGGCATATCTGGGGTGCCTAACCTACCCTTCGGTCCTAACAACCGAACTCTATCATTATCACATATCATATCAAGCTAGCATATAACATATCAGGTAGTAGCAACACAGATGGATATCACAAAGACAAACATCTATCATACGATCCCTACTGGTGGGCCGGTATTGTGGCCGTAGACCCACCGTTACCGGAAGGTAACTCACCTCGTAGTAGCTGCTGATCTGTGCGGGAATCCTCTGACTGCTGCCGCTGCTGCTCCGGAAATCCTCCGGCTATAATTCCCACAAAACACTTAGTCATACACTGCTAACTGTCCTTAGGGTAAAATGACCATTTTACCCCTGACCAAGTCAAAGTCAAAGTCAACTTCCAGTTGACCTGACTCGCCGAGTTGGCTTGCCAACTCGCCGAGTCCCTATCCTTCCTTTTGTCCTTATACCCGTCTCTACTCGTCGAGTTAGGCGATGACTCGACGAGTTTTCCTTCTAATTGAACATCGACATGAAAACTCATCCGACTCGCCGAGTTGATGAACAACTCGTCGAGTTCACCTTCATCTAATGAACAAGTTCTGTCCTCGACTCGCCGAGTTGATGAACAACTCGTCGAGTTCATCTTCATCCTTAAGAAGATTGCCTTGGACTCGTCGAGTCTGTTCGTGCACTTGCCGAGTCCCATGAATTCCAGAACCATAGCTTAGTCCAGAACGTTGGGTCACTTCCCGGGACTCCCTAAAACCTTTCCACACTCAACTGGGTCCTTTTGACCCTCAACTGATATGGGACAGAACCCCAGGACTCGCCGAGTCCAAGAATGGACTCGTCGAGTTGGTCACATCCTCTCACTAAATCTTCGATTTCTGATGTACAACCCTTGATCAAAAGATAGATCTATGCTTCTACAATCGATCTAGCACGTAAAGTTACAACCTTTACGTTCTTGCATGGGACTTTGAGCTCAAAAGGTCCTAAAACAAGCTCTCACAATGCATGGGGCCTTCTTTGAGTGCAAAAGCCACTCCTTTCTGCCTTGTAACCCCTCTAAGGACCTAGATCCGAAACATCAACCCCAAACCATGCTTGCAATCATGGTTGGTGACCAAAATGGCTTAGAAAAGCCCTAGAACTCCACAAAATGGGATCTATCAAAAGAACAAACAACGTATAGACTTTATACCTTCTGTAGACTGCAAATGATGCTCAAAATCGGATCCTTCTAGCCTCCTCTTGATCCTTCAAGCTTTTCCTTCCTTCCTTGGGTCACAAAAGCACCAAAATCACTCCAAATGCCTTAGATTGCTTCAATAACGGCTAGGGTTTCAATGAGAGGTGTTTGGGAGCATAAAGGGGCGATGGAGGCTGCATAAGGTCGTTTAAACAGGGTGCAAACCCTTGGATTAGGGTTTTTGTCCAGACAGTATCTACTCGCCGAGTCCGGGACCCGACTCGCCGAGTACATCACTTAAATCTCGCGTCCCGTCCCGCTTCTACTCGGCGAGTTGGTCCCTCAACTCGCCGAGTCCAAGGCCAAAAATGCAGAATACTTAGAAAGAAATACGTACCAAGAACCAGGTGCTACACCAATCTTGGGTATTGCAAAACCACCCAATCTTGGGTATTGCAAAACCACATATTACGGGATAGCGCATATATGGTATAGATTCTGATTATGATTGTGCCTTGGCTTCTCTTCGTAACAAGCTTCGGGATATTAACCTAAGCAGTTTTACTACTAACGACACCCCCTAAATCCCAGAAGACACCGACGAGTGCCATTTTTCGTAAAATTGTCCAAGATATGGAAGTGCATCTCGACATGACGGCTCGGCAGAAAGCGGTTTTCCAATGCTTACGTGCACCACATGCTCAATATTTTCTTCTAGCTATCCCTATAGATGGGTTTGGCCAACATATGTCTCATGTGGAGTAGCGCACTATCCTCAAATATCGATTTATGATTCCAATATTCCCAGCTGACGAGATATGTCTATTGTGTCGCAAGGCATGTTTGGACTCTTTTGGAGAGCATGCGGTTCACTGTAAAGAACTCCCGGGGTTCAAATACAGGCACGATATGGTTAATGATATTTTGTTTGATATATTTAAGCGTGCCGGGGTTTCCGCTAAGAAAGAGACGCCTGTGAATTTCTTGACTGACCCGACAGAAGGAAGGTCAACCCTTAGACCGACTGACGTTTTGATTTTTGGATGGTTCGAAGGGAAACACGCATGTTTGGACCTTACAGGGGTATCCATTCTTATGAGCTTGAGGGTTGGGGTTTCACGGCGGGGCATGCTGTTTTAAAAGCTGCTACAGACAAAGTCACCAAACATGAGAAATCGTGCATGGAAAATCAACACAAGTTCATACCATTTGCATTTGATACGTTTGGTTTCCTCGCGTCGGATGCGGTGAAGCTTCTTAATAAAGTACAACGGATCATGTATAACAATGTTATATCTCCTAGATCTATGGATGTAGTCTTCAAAAAAATTAACTTTACCATACAAAAGGCTTAGCGGCGCAGCTTGTTGCCTGTTTGCCATCTCACTCGTTGTACGATGATAATTAAATTAATGAAAAGTATTGATTATTTAAAAAAATAAAGACCAATTCTATAATTGAGTATTTAATATAATATAATGTCTCAATAATCAATATGTTTAATGTTACCCTAATTTGACGTTTTGTAACTTAAGTCTCTTTGGCAAATAAGATAAGTTAGAGCATTATATATGTAAAAATACAAATTAGAAGGAGAAAAAAGTTAAAAAAACAAAAGTGTATGGGTAAAAATTCACTAACATTGATTTTCACAAAGATTCGAAGCGTGGCTCACGTAAATACAACATTAAAAGGCGATGAAAAAGAATCGAATCCTTGGCTTTACCCCGGCAAAAAACATAAAATTGCCTCTCATTCTCTTTCTCTTTCTTTTTCCCACTGACGCTTACGTTTTAAACTAAATATACACTTCGATTCTATAAAGTAGCTAGATTTAGAAACAAAATTTCGTACATTTGGATATTTATTTACACACGATTCTATAAAACATCATAAAATATTGTGGGAAGAGTACAGATTTGAGAATGACGAATCGATTATGCGAATGGGTTTTGATATCATCGATTGGATTTGGTGTTTTTGGGAATTTGGTGTGTGGATATGTGTTTGATGAAACTGAATACCATTTCAATACGACTGAAGCTCTTTCATTATTAGAAGCCTCTTCAGCCGCCGCCGCTCCTAAACCGCTGCTTGTCGGCCTCACTCTTATTCCCGGAGCTGCTGCTAAAGGCGCCGGTAATTAACCCTTTCTATCCATTTTGAGTTTTCCTTTTGTTTATTATCAATGGGTTTTCGCTAGATTTCGATGTGCATTTTGTGTGGGTTTTCTTTTGTTTTAATTCGCGAGATGTTTATTATGAGAATCTTCAAGATTTGATGAACCCATGTGAAACCAATTCTTAGATTTGCAGATTTGATTAAATTTGATGTTTTCTTGTTTTCTTGATTTGCGGATTTGGGTGTTTGGGGTTTATGTTTTCTTGATTGTATTCAAGAACAGCCCTCACTCCGCCGCTCTTTGTGCTGCTATTATTAGTAGTTTTACAATTAGTTCACTGGTTTTTAGATACACATTTTCTTTTTGTGTCATACAATTTGCTTGATTTTGTCAATAAGATTTAATTAATTGGTGATTAAATGTTTCTTTTTCAACATATCGGTCATCTTTTCAACTTGTACCTTCATCCCAAAAAATAAGACAAAAAAATCAATCATAATTTTTCTATAAAGGTTAATACTTTATCATTACTTATCATTATTTTCGCTTGATTTCTGGTCATGAGATTTTTGTGATTTTTCTTCTCAATATATTGCACTTGTTTATTGAGTTACATCCTAGTAGTTTCCAGATTCAGATTTGATGTCAATATTTATAGTTTTCCACCCGAAAATGTTTTTATTTCTGTAAAGTTTAGTACTTTATCACTTCCTGTCATTTTTGGTTTGATTTCTATTCATGAGACATATGATTCTTGTTTTTTTTTTTCTCAATATCGTACTCTTTTTTACAGTTTGCACCCCTCAATTCCAAAAAACCCAGAAAAAAAAATTCACTTTTAATTATTGAATTTCATCTAAGAAGTTTCACGATTCAAACTTGAAGTAAATATTTTAAGTTATCCACCGACAAAATGCGCTATTGCAAAAAAGTTTAGTACTTTTCTCATTTATGCGCCATGAGATTCTTGTGGTTTTTCTTCTCATCATCATGCTCTTCTGTCGACAAAAAAAAAATTTATAAATTTTAATTATTGAATTTCATCCAAGTAGTTCAAGATTTTAAATTTTATGCACGTATTTTTTATTTTTCTAACCCCACAACGTTTTATTTCTATAAAGTTCAATACTTTATCACTAGTTGTCATTTTATTCCATGGGTCATGAGAATGAGATTCTTGTTGTTTTACATATGTATATATCTAGTAATTAGTTAGTAAGTGGGATACTTTTAGAGATTCTTATCCTGTGTTTCGCTCTCTACAGTATGTTTGGATGGAACATTACCTGGGTATCATTTGCATCGTGGATTTGAATCTGGAGCGAACAGTTGGCTCATTCAATTGGAGGTTTGCGACAGCTAAATGGATAATGACACCCATCAATTTATATTTAATTACGTGTTATTTATTTTCTTCCACGATTTAAATACCTTTAATTATTCATCCTATCCTCCATGTGCTTGTCTTTAGTATCCATATATCCACTCATAAAGTCATAATTATTACTACTATCACGTTTTCTAAAAAATATCATTGATACTCTTTCTTTTTTTACTTTAATAGGCTTACTAGGTGTTTGGAATTTCATTTTGAACTTTAAAATGACTTTTTAGGTAAAAGGATTTATTGACTTATGTTGGTGAGAAAATGAGTTTTTTAAAAAGTGTTTGAATTAGCTTTTGTGGTGGTGAAAAGTCATTAAGTTAATAATAAGTTGTATTTTTAAAAAGTGTTTGTGTTAGCTTATTGAATTATTGAATTTTTTAAAAGTCAGTACGTCAATAAGTTGTTATTAATCGGGATAGACTTTATTATGATAAACCATATGTGGGTGTTTTTTTTTATACTTAATGCAGAAAGAACGTATTACTAGTCGTAGAAAAAAAGAAAGAAACATGATGTGATACTTGATACTTTAATATGAAATCTCATTTTTTTTATTCCTAAATTTATTTAATTAAGCATCATATTACAGGGTGGAGGATGGTGTAACACTATTAGATCGTGTGTTTACCGAAAAACAACAAGACGTGGATCCTCAAATCTTTTTGAAAAACAATTGGCCTTCACTGGAATTCTAAGCAATAAGGCTGAAGAAAATCCAGGTTTCCTCTCATTGCTTCATCGATTTAGAAAACTTGTAATGAGAATTTATCTTTTTTTTTTTTTTGCCATATATTCATCTTAATTCAACTTTGCGTTTCTTTTTCAGATTTTTTCAATTGGAATCGAGTAAAGGTCCGTTATTGTGATGGTGCCTCTTTTGCCGGCGATTCAGAAGACAAGGTGGGTATCCGTGTCCTTCACACAGTGTGAGGCACAATGAGTTGTGTAACGGCGATGATGGGCCTGATACATATTGTATCAGACCCAAAATGTGTCGGACACTTTTGTGCCCGACACATAACGTGTCACAATATACATAGCGTATAATGTGACACTTGTTATTGTTTTACAAGTTGCTTAATGACGTTTATATATTGGTAACAGGCTCATAATCTGCAATTTAGAGGACAAAAAATTTGGTTGGCAGCAATGGAAGAATTGATGTCAAAGGGGATGAGGAATGCTGATCAAGTAATTTTTTTTATCAATTATTTATTTAGTTATTTTCACAATAAAGATTTCTTCGCGATAATATATATGAATTTCAGGCGCTTCTCTCTGGGTGCTCAGCTGGTGGTTTGGCATCTATTTTACATTGTGACGAGTTCCATTCTTTATTCTCTGGAAGCACTAAAGTCAAGTGTCTGGCTGATGCCGGGATGTTCATGGACGCGTAAGATTTATAGTTTTATCTTGCGTTTGTGACACCAGACCAGACTGGACTGGACAGACTTTCTAGGGCTATTTTTCTATGACAGAAAGGGCATTCATGTCTTTTGTACAAAAATTGCTTTTTTTTTTCTTTCATTAAATTGAGTTGTAGTAGAAGTCCAATTGATACCGGATGTAGCACATGGCCACTTGTTCTGTCATGTCATGTCATGTGTCCTTACTGGTGTACGATTTTCTTTTTATATAATTTTTTATTTGTTTTTTTTTTTTTAAATTAGGGTTGATGTATCGGGGGGACATACACTAAGGAACATGTATGAAGGTGTTGTTACCTTACAGGTAATTTAAATCACTTAAAAAAAATATTACATTTTGTTAAAACTAAAATATATGAAACATGGCTTATGAACTTTCAACAGGGTGTTGCTAAAAACTTGTCACCAACTTGCCTCAACCAACTCAATCCGACTTCGGTAAGTATTCTAGTTCCTGTGTTTGATGGAATCGGCGATTCCATTCTGTTCTTACACTCGGTTTTGGATTCCAGTGTTTCTTCCCTCAACATGTAGTTCCGAATATCAAGACACCTATGTTTATTCTCAATGCGGCCTATGATTCTTGGCAGGTAAATATTATCATTATTTTTTTTAAATCTAGTCTAGGGATTATTTTAATTATTAAAACCAATGAACGTTAGATAATAAATGATTACACATATTAAAAAACTTGATTAAACCAAATAAGATTATCATTATTTTTTTTAAAGAAAATACTGTTGTAATTTAATAAAAACATGAATTTTTTTATAGGTTTAATCTTATAAAAGATCTTATATTTTGTGTTTTTTCCGGATTAAACCTCATCTTTATTTTTTTTTCATGAAAAAGACCATATATTTTTTCATTTTTTCTGAAAAAACCCTCAACTGTCTTTTTTTTCTGAAAAAAACCTCAACTTTGTCTTTTTTATTTTTTTTTTCTGAAAAAAACCCTAAACCTTCTAAATGTTTTCAAATAAACCCTCAACTTTTCTAGTTTTTCCTGAAAAACCCCTCACATTTTACAATTTTTTTAGAGAAAAATGACTAAAGGGGCCAGATCGGAAAAAACTGAAAAAATGCAAAGTCTTTTTCATGAAAAAAATAAAGTTGAGGTTTAATCCGGAAAAAACACAAAATATAAGGTCTTTTATGAGATTAATCCTTTTTTATAAGCACTAAAATCACATAAATAAAATGGATTATATGGCTTTATTTTCATCTTATTCCAGATGGAAGAAAAAAGAACACCCCTCACTGATAAATGAATATTTAATATAAAAGAAGTAAAAACATTTTAAAGATGGTCTATTCCATTTCATCATGCAAAACAAAAGTCTTTTTTTTTTTTTTAAATTCAAATGGAATGAGCCATTTTTATTCTCAGGTTCTCTCCAGTTTATCAGCTCCATCAGCTGATCCAAGTGGTGTTTGGAAGGCGTGTCAAAAGAACCCTGGAAACTGTTCACCATCTCAGATGAATTACCTTCAAGGTACAATACAAACCTTTTTTACAAATATCATGAGCTTCATTAAATATATAATTGGTTGACTAATGTATCTATTCTCTCTTCTACCCTTTGACCAGATTTCAGAAACCAGATGTTGGATGCACTTAAAGGCTTCTCAAAGTCCACACAAAATGGATTGTTTGTAAATTCATGTTTTTGCTCATTGCCAGACAGAAAGGCAAGATACATGGTTTGCAGATGATTCTCCTGTTATTAACAACAAGGTATATAGGGCTATTTTTGTCATTTTACATAGATGAGTGATCTACATGTCCCATCCTTTTAAGTGAAAAAAAAAATTACAATTTTTGAGTCTCTCAGTCCGATTAATGTTGGAACACATTACTACAACCACTTTTGTCATGTCCTCAAATTGCACTTTTTGGTAAACCACAGGGACCAATTTTGCAATTTACTCTAAAAAGATAAATGCAAGAAAGAGCAATGTAGTTTTTAATTATTTTATTATACCATTGTACTTTCAGCTCTTTTTACAACATCACACATCCACATTAAACTTTGATAAATCTACCGAATTTTCACAATGGGCAACATGCTATCTTTTAAATGGTTTTCACATTGTATAGTTAGTAGGGCAAAATGCAAAATAACACAACCATTTATCTATCAACATTCAAAAAAACCCTTATATTTTGTTTATATGCAGAAAAACCCTTACATTTTCAGTTACCTTTCAGATTAACCCAAATATATGTTTTTCCAAAGAAATTAGGGGTTGTTTTGTGACATGACATTTATCTTGTTCGTTTTTAGGTTGACATGGAAAAAAAATAGGCAATGTCGCTTTTTTTTTTTTGTTTCCATGTTAACCTAAAAACAAAAATATATAAATGTTATGTCACAAAACAATAAAAAATTTCTTTAAAAAAACGGATACTTAGGTTAATGTGAAAGGTAACTGAAAATGTAAGCGTTTTTTTGGATATAAACAAACTGTAAAGGTTTTTCTGAATGCTGATAGATAAACGGTTGTGTTTTTCTGTATTTTGCCCATTTCTTTAAATTACAAAATGCCCTAATAAGAAATAATTTGAAACACTTGAATCTTTAAAGCATGATGAGTTGAAAGTTTAGACATAGATAAGATGCTAATCTTGAAATGCCATGCAGGCGATAGCATTGGCTGTGGGAGACTGGTTTTTTGATCGATCAAGTGTGAAGGAAACAGACTGCCCGTATCCATGTGACAAAAGTTGTCACAATCTTCTATTTAGATGATAATGCTAGAATCTAAGACATGTCTTTATTTGTTATTTGTTCAAGATTTATGGTATGAAATTATGAATGAAGATGAAGAACAACCTGAGACATGAATAAACTACAATCCCTACTTTCTGGCAAAGAAGAAGTGGGGGGTGTTATTATATATTCAAATATTTGTTTTGTGAGAGTAATGCATTATGCAAAGCATATCATTGATTATTGACTTCTTGTTATTTATATATGGTACTCTTTATATGGTATTGTCTTTCGTTTTCATTCTGTTCAATGACTTTGGGAAACTGTTATAAAAAGATTGACCAGATTTCTTGATAATGTCATTGTATTTGCATGAGATTTCTTGATATTTAATGTTTTATCTCCAAAAAAATCCATAATTATCAATCTTACTTTCTTTATTGTTTACGTGTGTGCATGACTTACATCACAAACTTCGCCACAATCTTGTAATGGGAGTTTGGAAAATATGGTAATGTGGCGGATGAAAACATGTCGCCATGAATGAGAATGAGGTTGGTAAACAAATATTTCAGGTGGATTTGAAGATGAACGATGGGGTATATGAAGTTCAAAAGAGTTGGTAACTATAGTGGAATCTTGGGTGTTGGTTGGGATCGATTTAGTCAATTTAGTTAGAAGAATGCAAATTAATTTCGGTTTTCAAAACTTGAATATGAATAATTATCATATTGATTAACTAGAAAGTTGTTATGAATAATAGTGTTTTGGAGTTTTTGATTTTTTGCCGCTAAACTTTTTTATTTTGGAGTTTTGTCCGTTTTAATGTTTTTAGTTTTAAATTATAGCCATAAAGGTTTTGGATTTTGTTAGATATAGTCCGTGTAATTTTATAAGTATAGAAAGGGTCCTTGTAAAGTTTTTTTTTTTTTATTTTCTTTAAATAGTATATATATATATATATATCTATATATATCTATATATATATATATATATATATATATATATATGATGAGGTTCAATAGAGAACCATAATTAACCAAGGAACCAATCGTGAGCGTCGGAAATCATAACGATCAACGGCCAAGGAAATAGATGTACACTTTTACATTGGACGCACACACACCGGATTATACAAAAAAATCCACCCTTTACAAAAAACCCACCACTTTTTTTCGTTTAAAATTTTTTTAGGCCATGTTTTTTATCAAAAAAAAAAAAAACCGTATATACCGTTGTTCACGATTTTTCGTCCTCTTTCCATAGAGATCCATGATTATATATAAAAAACAAATTTTTTTTTCGAAAAAAAACCCACTTCATTTTCTTTAATGAAAAAAGTTAATGTCTATTTTTTATACAAAAAAATTAATAAATATATCGAAATTCATATTTTTTTGTATTTTTTAAACATAGATTAATATTCATGTTAAAAAAAAATGATATTTCAGTTCAGATTCACATTGTGAACCTGTTGAGATTCATGTTGTGAACCTGTTCAGATTCACATTGTGAACCTCCTCAGATTCACAGTGTGCATAATAATAAGTCAGATTCACAGTGTGAATCTGAACTGATCGGAGCTTTTTCACATTGTGAATGTTAAAATTTGAAATATTTACAATTTAGATTAACAGTGTGAATCTACACTGATCGAGTTTTTTTTTTTTTTTTTTTTTTTTTTTTTTTTTTTGTGAACCTTCTCAAATTCACAGTGTGCATAATAGTAATTTAGATTCACAATGTGAATCTGAACTGTTCGAAATTATTATGAATGTTAAAAATTGAAATATTTACAGTTTAGATTCACAGTATTGGTTTTCCGGGAAAATCAATACTACTCGCTCGAAATTTCTATAACTATAATACAAAAACACTCTTCATATATATGTTTTGAAAATCATTCATGCATCATCTATGGATCTTCACACTTTGATAAACAAATGTCTTTTCAGAAAATATCGGATTTTCTGGGTTTTATAAACTATATAAATCATTTTATTTACAAATATGCTTATGAACTCACCAACATTCCATATGTTGACGTTTCTCCAAAATAACTTGTATTCTCAGGTAGTAGATAAGCGGAAGGGTAATACCAAGTATGTTAGAATATTTTGTGTTGAAAACCTTTGAAACAACTTGTGTTATGAAGTGTAATATTTGAAAACAATGTACTGGATGTAAACAATATCAGTTGTAATGTATTGATGCATGGTGATGTTTGTGTTATGATTCATGTATATTCATTGTGATGGTATTCAATTTAAGTCACACGAGCCCCCGGACGTTTCCGCCGTCTGGTTTCGGGGGTGTGACAATTATCGTATCCTAAACCCTTTTGTTGGTTTCGTTTGAACTGTAGGCAATGGTCAATCATGTTGGCAACTACCTCGCTTGATACATCAAACCTTTTAAAATCAAAATTTGCAGTTTCAAATTGCCCTTTTAATGTATCAAGCTCAGTAATTAACTCAACATTCTGTTTCTTGACATAATCATAATTTTCACATTTGTTACTGTAGTCTTCCTGAAGTCTCCTAAAGTCCTTTATTTTTGTTTCAAACTGGGCCTTTAGGGGTTTTTGTCCTTTTCTAAGTTGATAGCCCTCATATCTAAGATCCTCTACTTCTCTACGCAATAATGCTATTTCGTCATGAAGAATTTTAACATAATCAGTACATGCCTGAAAACAAGAAGGTAAACTTACCTCGCTTTTCTTTTGGGCTCGGAAGTAGAAGATACCATCAGTGCAAACTGCAGCTCCATAAGATTCACACACTTACAAATCTTCTGGATCACTTCAGCAGGTTCAAGATAAAGAACCAACACAGGCTATTACAGAAAATTACAATCAACTAGAAAAGCAAAGTATAAACCATAATTTTGAACCAACAGGATGAGTTGGTTGTGTAGTGGTAGGTGGTGAGGTTTCAGGAATAATGGGTAATGGGTAGGTCAAGACATATGGGTCGGAAGGAGAGGGTGAAGTTGGCGTAGATACATGAGCCAGAAATGGAAAGTATTGTTCGTGAAAACAAACATGACGAGAGATATACAAACTGCCAGAAGTGGAGTCAAGGCACTGATACCCGTGGTGTGAGGAGCTGTACCCGAGGAAGACACATGGAGTAGACCTGAAATCTATCTTGTGTTGATTTTGTAAGGTCGGAGATGAGGAAAACATTGGCACCCAAAGATCTTTAAGAAGGAGAAATTAGGTCGGCGCTTAAATATGGACTTAAAGGGTGAGATACGAGATATAGTCCGGGATGGCATGCGGTTAATGAGATAAACCGTAGTGTCAAAGGCAAAATGCCAATAGGTGTTTGGAACACCCGATTGAGCAAGAAGAGTCAAACCGGTTTCAATGACATGGTTGTGAAGCCTCTCTACCAAGCCATTTTGTTCACTTGTATGATGGCAAGAGAGACAATGAATGATGCCAAGTAAGGTAAAGAATTGAGTGAGTTTGTGAAACTCACCCCCAGTCAATTTGAACATATTTAAGTTTGGTAGAGAATTGGCGTTCAACAACGGTAATAAATTGTTTGAACACATCATAAACATCAAATTTGCGTTTAAGAGGGAAAATCCACATAAAGCCAGAGAAATCATCAACACATAACAAAAAATAATTATGGCCATCTGACGAGGTCATAGGTGCCGGACCCCAAACATCACACACAACAAGATCTAAAAAATGTTTATTATTAAATGTGGAAGGTGAAAAATGAAGTTTAGATGATTTCCCAACGTGACAGGAATTACAAAAGAATCTGAACCTTTACTAGAAAGAGGAAGACAATACTTAGAAAACATAAAATTTAAAAGTTGTGGGTGAGGATGTCCCAACCGTTGATGCCAAATGTCGGAGGATGCTCTAAGAGTAGTGAAAGCAACTTTAGGAAGACGCTGAAGTGATGGAAGACGAATGGAGTAGAGACCATTGTTACTTGGACCCGTGAGGAGGGTAGTTTTGGTAGTATTGTCCTTTACAACAAATAGACGAGTGAAATTCAAATAAAACGTCATTGTCTAGGAAAAAATTTTGAACTGAAAGAAGATTCTTTTTGATTTCAGGAACATGAAGAATTTCAGATAGAGAAAAAGTTTTCTTAGGTGAATAAAAAACGAGTAGAGCTAATATGAAGAATAGGTAATCCTGTACCGTTGCCAACGTGAAGAACATCCTCACCAAAGTAAGGTGTGTGGCTATAAAGAGAGGATAAATCATGGGATACATGGTTGTTTGATCCTGTGTCGGTGAGACAGGTGGTTGTCTGTGAGCGATTTTCTGCAAAACTAGCAGAAGGCTGTTGGCATGGGTGGATGGTGCTAGGATCACGGTTAGGACACTGGGAAGGAATATGGCCAATACCATATCTGTTACAGGTACCATAAACTGTGTTTTGCATGGATGCCAAGGAAAATTGGCTTTGAAGACTGACTGTTTGTTGGTTCGAGTTTCTTCGGCCACGACGGTTGTTGGACCCACGACCCCGAAAGGAAGGAGGCCGGTTAGTATAAAAGGCATGAGGGGATAATGGGGGAGTCGGGTTAAGCAAGCTGTTGTAGAGCTTGTATGGGATCAGTAGGTGATGTGGCGGTGATAGGGGAGGAGCGACCGACAGCAGTGGCAGCAAAAGCTTGAGCAGGTGCAACAGTGGATGGTTTTTTCTTGACCATAAAGTCATGGTCAGCAAGAAGACCATGAAGTTCTTGAAAGGAGGTGGGAGCTTAGCGAGCTAGGAGTGTGAATTTTAGACTATTGTATTCCTCACGAAGACCAGAGATACCTAACATAACAAGGTCTTTTTCCTTGACTGGTTCGCCGATGTTTGCTAGAGTATTTGAATATTATTGAGCGCGCAAGAGGTAAACATAGGCGATTTCATCAGATTTTCATCTCAAGCTTGAGAAGTTGGGTTTTAAGGGTGTATTCTATATAAGAAGATTGAGGAGCATAGGCTCTCTGTAATGAGAGCCAAAGGTCCTTTGAGGTTGTGCCTTGGGCATGGGACTAAGATGCTTCAGAGATGGTAGATAGAAGGAGCATGCAAACATGGGCATCATTAGCTATCCAGACTGTATAGGAAGGATTCAACTGAGGTTCTGCTGTGGTGGCTTTCTCTGTTGGTGGTATTGTAGGGTTGGGACAAGAAATGGTTCCATCAATATAGCCGAAAAGATTATTAGTAACAAGAAAATGTTCGATCATTATTTTCCAAAAACCATAATTAGTAGAAGAGAGAGTAAAAGGAAACTTATGAGAATTGTGTGATGTTTTCTTTGTTGTGGAGAAGACGTTGATGGTGCCCATTGAGATCGATTTCTTGCTGA